AACTATGTCAGCCTTGTACTGTAGTTCGTTCACCGCAGGGCCTCACCCAATGGGGGCCTATTACTACCCACAAATTGGGGGCTTTCATGTGGCCCCGTCTAGAAATTAGTTGCCCACCCCTGCCTTAGGTTATGAATTTAGAGTAGCTTCTGACTCAGGATTTCAGTGGAAGAGGGAAACAAACCTGTTAAGTGAATGTCTGGAAATGACAAGCTCTGAACAGAGCTAGGTCTCAAGAAAATAAGCAATGACCTTCATAGGCATTCATCTTTACCTTTCCTCTGCTATATGCTTCTTTCCACTCTTTCTTCCTGTTTGTATTAACCTGTGCTGTTAGAATGACCTGGGTTAGAGGTTGGTGTGAGAACATAGGGTGCTTGTACAGAAATCCAGGTAGCTTAATTGGGAGAATGCCTAATCCAGCCAGTGCAAATCATGCCTACGTGATCTAATACGAGACATCTTGTTTTCAAGTAAAATAAGGATAACTTAATATGTGTGGCGTATCCAAGAAGAGTACTTAGGCTTGGCTGGTTATTAAAAATCTCTGTGGCAAAGTGTGCTAACTGAAGTTAAAGTTGAGATGCTTTTGCTGGTGAAATTTAACCAAACATACAAGAGAATGTTTGTTTGATCATATTGTTAATAAGATGCACCCATCCAAAAACAGAAGTACAATTTGTGACTAAGGATACTCCGCATGTAATTACTGTATGTAATTACTTAAAGCAAGAAGCAAAGTCAAAGGCAGAGAAGCTATAAAATATCAAGATTTTATTTTTCTCCTTGGAAAGTTTTTGTATGAGACATTTTCTTCAAAACATCAGCAAGCTGAACATACAAGATGTGGAAAAAGTGGCAGCGCAGGTAACTTGGTTTGGCTAATGCCCGCTTGTGTACAAGAGGTACACACTTGACGTCTGAGCACCCTCACGTGTTTTATTCTTTTAAGTGGTAGAGTAAGGCAGTGGTTTCTCTATAAGTAATCTCTCTATAGTTTTATATATATTTATATATATATATGGTTCTAGTCACAATTTTTAAGCTTCACGTGCAAATTAAAATAAAATGTACAACTCAAAAATTACAGCCATTTCCCCCACCTCCACAGCAAAGAAGCATCCAAACAGGGACCATTACTGACACCAATAAGAAGAGTAAAAAAAAGAGGGAAGACAACGGGAAAACAACCTCAGGATCGGTGTTGTTTGCATGATGAATGAAATTCCAGTGAGATTTTTTTTCCCCCATTCATAGGGAAGGAACGGGTGGTTATCAACAGGTGTCTTCAGTCAGTTGTCCCATTTTATTCTATCCTAAGCAGCTCCACATCAAAAATCAAAGTAGCATTGGGCGGGATGACTCCAGGGTGGCCTGTTGTTCCGTATGCCATGTCAGGGGTACAGGTTAGCTTTGCTCTTTGTCCCAGACTCATCTGGCGTTTAGATTATCATGATAGGAAGAGAGAAATAGGAGAAAGCATTACAAACCCTGTCACTGATCCATGTATTACACCTTGTGTCTATTTTTTAAACCTGACTGTCTCTCTTGAAGCTGAATACCAGAATTGTCATTCTTCCATTAAATAACAGGAGACAAACCTATTTCTACGATTCACCTCAGGAAGAATATGAAAATTAACATATGAGCCCAGGAAAAAAGGATACCTGATTCCATCCGCCTATGGTAGCAATAGCAAACTTGGCAATTTTTCTGGTCATGTAATGATCTGTTACAACAGGGCAGTTGTTATAACACTGGATGAAATCCTGTTGTGCAAATGGCATAACTATTGGAAGCAAACTGTTGTAAGTCAAGCAATCTCCACAGATATTAACTGTTGCTTTCCCCAACTGTTGGGAGCTATGTGGAGCTGAGAAGGAGGGTGCAGCCCATGTTCAGGTGAGGGGGTGGTCGGGGGACCAAGAACTGCGAGTTTTAATGCAGCTGCGGGGAGTGAGTGTTAGCTGTAGCAGCTTGTCCCCACTCTCATCACTTTTTAACTATTTTTAAAAGTTCTGAACTGGCACAATGCTAGTTCAAGGCACTAATAAAATAATTTAAAAAATGATTTTGGACTGCAGTCCCAATCCCCTTTTAGTTGGTACCATTTTTGGCAAACCCCACATGTGCTTAGCTGTATGTCATGCAGCCAGATATTTTTAAATCAGTTCCAAGCATGCTGAACCTGATGCAAAACCAGGAGTATTAGGATATTTAACCAGAAGCCGCCCAGAGACCTTTGGGTAGAGTGGGTGGCATATGTCAAATAAATAAATAAATTTAGCCAAGCCCTAAGTCGTACTTACTAATACAGTATTTACTCCCAGTGCAAGAAAGAAGCCACGAGATGGAGCCAGCGAACAGTTGACAGGCACAAATGGCTGCCAATTGTTTCTGAAGGGGAGATGCTCTTGAAGTACAACCTTACACAACCACATGCACCTAACCATAAGGAGCACGGCACAGAGTAGAACTTACTTCCATGTAAATTTCCATGCTGCTATCCTGTAAGGTGCTTATATAGGCAAAGTTGCACCTAGATTTCAAATTTATCTGCTCTAGAGTAGTCTTACAAAGATCCTACACACAGGGCCTAGAAGAAAATTTTCTCCAGTGGAACTTGGTTCCAACAAAGTGTCGGCTCATTCCTTGTCCCTATACATATGGACAGATTTTTTTTTAGATCATGGCTTGTCAAATTGTTTACATGAGCACTACATCATCTTCACTGACAGCATTAGCAATGCGTTCTTGTTGTCAAAATACGTGACAAAAGCATTAGTTGAACTGAGATTCAGAAGCCAGAAAATATATTGTTACTTGTAAATAATGAAAGCATAACTAAGTTACATTTTCATTATTTTTAAATTTGTTATTTTTAAAGTAACATGGCAGTATAATTACTTTTAAAAGGTAGCTTGTTACTTTGAGAGTAATGCATTGATAACGTTACCTTTATGTTTCTCCTCAAATACATTTTTAAAAAAGTAATGACAAAAATCCCCCCAATAAACCCTAACATACTTTAGAATTAACAATAACAGATACGTCCTTGTAATCCCCCAAAAGTAATGTGATACAGGCGATGTTGTTACCATAACATGTTGTTTCAAACCTCAGGTTGCCAAAGAGGGAAAGTATTGACTGTGGAAGATGTACCTTCTTCATAATATTATGGCATAGTCATAAAAGATTAATGTTCCTGAAACTGCTTTGTGTCTCTAAAGCATAGCCAACAATCTCATCATTTCACCTGTGATTTCAAAACAGTTTATTCTTATGAGTAATTATTATTGATTTTTTCCTTTTAAGGTTTTAATATAATTGCAGTGCTCTAAATAGAATACATAATAATTGCTATTTGTGGGCTGTCAAGTTGCTTCTCATCTATGGCAACCCTTTGCAAAGTTTCCTACATAGAAAATATTCAGAAAATGTTAACTAGTTACAGTACAGGGAGCTATGTTACTTGTAACTAGTGACTTGCGGGCTCTGGTATCAGCTTTAGAAATCTAACAAGAAAATCTCAGTGTTCTGTGAAGAGGAGATGCATTTATATATATATAAGATCTATTATGGGACAGTTTTAGCATGCACTCCTGTATTTACTCTTGTAAAATATCTCCTGTATGGAGAATTAGTGCAGGGAAATCGACCCAGAGGGAGACCACAGCTGCGATACAAGGATATCTGCAAGTGGGATCTGAAGGCCTTAGGAATGGACCTCAACAGATGGGAAACCTTGACATCTGAGTGTTCAGCCTGGAGGCAATTTGAAGAGACCCTTGTCCAGCAGGCCAAGGCAAAGAGGCAGTCCCGAAATCATCCAAATCAGGGAGCTGGGCAGGGGACAGATTGTATTTGTCTTCCGTGTGGAAGGGATTGTCACTCTCAAATTGGCCTCCTCAGCCACACTATTCCAAGTCCTCCATACAGAGCACATTACTATAGTCTCTCAAGACTGAAGGATGCCTCATGAAGCATGTGCTGCCAAGTCTGCCCTGATTCCAATTCTGAACTGTTTGTTGGATTAAGCCAGATAAATTTCTGTGACTCTTACCATAAATATAAGTCACTGGTTCATTCACGTAATAAACTATTGACATCAGTCTCTAAATCCATTCCTTTGAGCATTTTTCAGCAGCATTCTGGGTGCATTCAGGGACCATAATCCTACTCATCACTTATACCAGTGTTAAGAGCAACAGCACAAATCACAGTGGTAAATCTAACTAGTTAGCAAGTTGCCGCTTGTATCCCTTGTTGCATATGAACTCATACAAATGATGTTCAATGAGGGAAGTGAGCAGTGACTCATTAAGCAGAAATTTGCCACTGCAATTTATGTTGCCAGACTTACAATGGTGTAACTAACCAACAGGATTCTGGCCAGTGAGTCGTGATAGATGGAAGTTCAGTCAACTCTTGATCAAAAAATTGAAGCTCCTTTGGACTGAAGCAAGACGAGACCAATCAGTGTGCTAGGGTTCTAAAACATATCTAACTGGACGTTACCTATACACAGACTGTCACACACCTATGCAGGTACACATACAAGGCCCAGACTGCATCCAGAGTCATACTTAAACTGAAATCATTGAAACTAAAATTAGTCAAGATTAACTTAAGTCTCATAGACTGAAGTAGGTTTCCTCCGAGTATGACTACATCTGGAGTCAACCATATTGTCTTCCATATTTTCTACCTCATCTGTTATGCTGTTATCCACCAATTACTGCACTTGGCATTTGGGAAAACAGACCAGCGTAATGGCTCATACCTGTGCAGTTCCTTCCTCAAAACCCTTAATGACTTCTTGTCTTCCAATCTTGAACCGGAAAGGTTTGTTTCGATCTCGGGAGGAATCAAACTTCTTTCCATTCTGTAACATGCCTGTCGAAAAGAAAGAAACAGTTCCTGTTTCAGACAAGATTACTGTCAATCCTATGGAATAGAAAAAAATAATTAAGATGGCTGGTTGAGAGGGGAAGGAGACCCATCAGGCACTGCTGCTCTTTAAAGGTTTGGTTAGCAGGGTCATAGGCTGGGGCCACTACCATGTTTCTATTGCACTATGAGTTTCCTACAATTGCAAAACCCTCCCACCAAGGTTGTTGCCAGCTGAAGTCCCCAGAGTCATCCAGAGAAAGAGGTGGCTAGGGCAGCCTGTACAAGGCGACCCAGTGACAGACAAACGAGTCGCTTTTTTTTTCCAAGGGAAAAGATGACACAAGTATGTAAATCAGTAGATAACTAAATGTTCCTGATGTCAAGGAAATAATTCCAGATTAGAGTGCGTTTACTTTTTTATCACTAAGCATGTTCACTAAGCATAACTAAGTACAGATGCAATCCTCTGGAAGAAGGGCTGGATAAAACGTTGCTTCCAAAATCTTAGTCACGCTTAGTGAACATCCACCGAAGTTAATGAAAACAAACCAGATGACACATTAAACACATATTCAGAAATAGTGCTCCTTCAATTGGCGAAATATGTCTGTTATAGTACATACTTTCCCTCACTTCCACATCTTGCATCCATTTTATACTGTATACAGTCATTGGCAAGAATCCTATTGGCAATTCACACAGGCATGAGTGAAATCACATAAGATGCAGAAGCAAATAGTCACTAATTAACAAGATGACAGTTGCACTGCTGGTTGCATGAGTAGAAATGCTATCCGCACCTTGTTAATTAGTGGCAATTTGCCACCAGAATTTACATTATTTCCTTATAATCACCTGAATCACCACTGACAGGAAAACAAGGATTAATTTGCCAGTCGCTTGAGGCATACATCTCTGAGGAAACTGGGTTTGCAGGAGGAATAACAGGCTAATCCTAGAAAATGCACATTTTCCTTATTGTCTGGTTTGATCCTTAATTTAATCATAACTAATATAAAGTCCCATTGATTAAATTGTGTCTAATTTAGGTGTGGATAACAATGACTTTCCTAATGTTCTTTGACTGCACAATCCCTCACCACCAGCTATACTGGCTAGAGTTGATGTAATCTAGGCAATAATGTCTGGAGGGCCACTGCCGCCTATTCCAGATCCAACCCGAAGGCATGAAGAGAATATACATAGTTCTTCCTTTTACTTACAACAATGTTGTGGAATAGATTAAGCTCTGATATAGTAACTGGCCCAAGGTCATACAGTAGCCCTACAAAGACAGCAGTGTCCCATTTTCTGAGATTTCTGGTCTAAAGCCTAATAGTGGGAGGGAAGGCCTTTCTGATGGGCAGCGATCCACCAGCAGCAAATGCTAAATGGTAGGTGTTGTAACAGATGACATAACGACAAACATGTAAGTTCCAGTAGTAGCATGTGTGTGAAGAGGAGGTTAAGGTGTCACTTAAGTCTGGAAGTGAGCCGTCCCCTTGATCGTCTGGGGCAGAAGGAGTCAGCACCCTTGTGTCTGGTTTACTTACAAGGATGGAGGACCTAGCTATAGGGGGAGGGGTGACTGATGAGCGAGGAGAGAGAAGGGGGGGAAGGGGAGGAAATGACTGAAGGCTTCCTGATGTCAGAGGAAGCGGGGGGAGAAAAAGAAAAGCTGGGGATTGGAGGAATGGATTAGTCCAGAATGAGAGGATAAGGAGGAAGGCAGCAGAAAGAGAAGGGAGGAAGAAGAACCCTATGTGTTTAACGTGCCAGGAAGAAGTGAGGAGAGAAAGAGGTGGTGGTCATGCGTGTGGGCAAGGAGGTTACGGTCTAGAAATACAATTGGGAGAACTGGATCCTTTGGAAGGGACTGTATATAGTCGTGCCCCGCTTAACGATTACCCCGGATAATGACGAATCCGCTTCACGACAATGTTTTAATGGTTTGTTGTTGTTGTTGTGTTTTGCTTTGTGACAATCGGTTCCCTGCTTTGGGAACCGATTCTTCACATTACGAGGATCAAAACAGCTGATCGTCGGGTTTTCAAAATGGCCACCGGCTGCTCAAAGTGGCACCCCACTGGGTTTTTGGATGGATTCCTCGCTTTACAGGCAGTGAAAATGGCCGCTCTTATGGAGGATCTTTGCTGGACGGTGAGTCATTCAGCCCATTGGAACGCACTGAATGGTTTTCAATGCATTTCAATGGGCTTTTTTATTTCGCTTTACGACATTTTTGCTCTACAGCGATTTTGCTGGAACAAATTAACGTTGTCAAGTGAGGTACCACTGTATACCTGTGGGGGAAAGGTCCCTGGAGAAAGGTAATCTGACCAGAACCTATTCCAGCGGCTCAGACCCTTCGTGAGGGGGATTGGGCATGTTACCCCTGTTGTGGAACCATATGTGCAGTGAGGAGCAATCCTATGAGAAGACCAACAGACAAGGAGACTTTTGGAGTGTCTCCACGTTAAGAGACAATGAAGCCGTTGATAGACTTCCTATGTTGTTGACTGATTCCTCGTTAGCAGCCAGTTCCGTTGGACCTACAGAAGTTATAGTTGATCCCCCTCCTTCTTGTGAAAGTAAATGTTTCCTTGAAAAAAAAACTATGTCTCATGTGGTTAATCCTGTCAAAGAGGAGGAACTGCTCAGTTTTATGTCTGAACACAGCCACAACATGCTATCATGCAAGGTAACAGAAAAGACAAGAGTCTGAGCATGTTTCGATTGCACGCTTTGAAGCCAACAGAATTCACCCCCAAATCCGGACACAGGTCAGAATCTGAGACTCCGCAGGGATGCGATTCACATTCTAAGTGTAAGGGGCACTCTAGCCAGGACCTACCACAATGGCTCCTGAAAGCCCCAAGCAATGGAGTAAAGCTGAAAATGTTCAGATAATGGCAATGCAACAGCCCAAGCTGATCAATGGGAGCTTTATGTGGTGGAAAGTTAGTCAGGTTGGTCTGACATTTGGCCAGATCTCATTTTTTGCTCAGCATATGCCCATATTTCATAACATCAAGATGGTGCTCCAAAAGGGAATTTGGCAATGGCTTCATTAATATGTAGGCATAGACTACATATCCTCACCCACTTGTGGTAACACCGTTAATTCCCAGATGGGTGGAACGTGGCTCCCTCTGAGCATTTTCCCAAGCCAAGACATATGAAACTCAAACAAGGGGAAATTCTTTATGAAGGGCTGCAGATAGTTTAAAATGGCAGCAACTCTAGAATGACCCATATAAGATAGCAATCACTAGCATTACTTCTTTTTCTTCATGCGCCACCAAATCAATTCTGACTTCTCAGGGCTTCCCAGGTAGAGAGTACTCAGAAGTGGTTTCCCATTCCCTTCTTCTGGGGGGCTCTTCGGGGACTGTGCAGCTTGCCCAAAGCCCCACAGACTCGCTCTTCCTCCTGGAGGCACAGTGGGGAATCGAACTCCCAACCTCTGGCTTTGTAGAGAGATACCAAAACCACCGAGCTATCCAGCCAGGTAACATTACTTAAGTAATGACTACAGTATTTAATATGCCGAGAAATGTGTACATATCTGTATCATTTTCTTCTTCAATTACTGCGGTGCTGTCCAGAGTTCTCGCTCATGTCTAGCAGCAGCTGGCTTTGCAAGCCCCTGGCAAGGCAAGAGCTGACACATTCCCTTCCCTGAAGGTTTGGTAGGAGTTTATTTCAGAAACTGGAAGCAAAGGAGCTCCTAATGCAGGAAATGCAGTCTCAGCTGCTCTGATGCCCTTTCATGAGATTCGGCATCTCATGAAAAGGTATCATATTGTTAGTTCTCTTATTATCAATGCATTTGTACCTCGAGGGATCGGGAGAAGTGCTTATGGGCTAAAATAACTTCCTGACTTTGGATACGATGTACTTTGATTTGGAGGGGTAATAGGCATTCTATGTTGCTCTTCAGCAAAATCTCCTGCTCTGGCCCTGACGCATTTCAAAGAGAGGATGGAAGAACTTCACATTCTGTAAATGCCTTCAGAGAAGCAGGTTAGATCACCCTGGAGTGAAGGCCTCCAATTGTCAAGAGCACATGTGTCTCTGCCTAAGGAGCAATACGTGCTCCTTGACAAGAGGACCTGGGGGGGCTCTCTGAAACCATAAACCAATAGTTATTAGCAAGCTGCCCCACTGTCCACCAGAGCTATGGCAATAACACTAGTTATTGTTACAAGCCGGAGGCCCTTAAAAAAAAAAGTATTTAGCTGCTAGTATGATCACAAACGTTTAAAAAGAAAGGTTTCTTTCTTAAAAAGAAATATTTTCCTATTTCCATAATTTGTTACTTTAGTTAGTTCTAAAAAAAAATCTGAATGCTGAAAGCTGCTGGCCTGTTTTATAGAAAAAAAAATATTCCCCTTCTATCTACATTGCTGCTGCTCCTTCACTGCTGCATGAGACCATTCCTCAGTAACTTTAAAAGTAATTAAAAAGTTAAAGCCAAAAAAAGGAATTCATTACAAGGAGCATATTCTTTATAACTAGTTGTAAATACTGTAAATACGGACCTCAAATAATGCAAACTGAAATAATGCCTGGAAGCTCTGGCAAGCATCTGAAAAGTGATTTACTGTACTGTTTTACACGTAGAGATCAGTACTGCCATACAGTGTAAACAAAAGCCACATCCAAGGGAAGGCACTGGAAATATGGCAGACAAAAAGCTTGGCAGTTACACTAAGATAGACAGGCGGAGTGTGAGTCTGAGTCAACATGTAGGTTGAATTACATCTAAACCCAGAGAAATTTTAATGAACTAGGAATGGCTCTGGGTGAAGCATGCCCCCCCCCCTCAGTGAGATTAGCTATCCTAACCCTCTGGCTACAGTGAATCAGCATTTGAGATAGCTGCTCTGCTTTTGCATGGGTCAAGGGAAAAACCCCAGCAGAGCTTTGCACAATTCCAAAGTGACCAGAAGAGCACTTTTGGAGGAGTCAATAATGTGTGTGTTACTAGAGTCAATTGA